TCTCCAAAAACAACGCTTGAAGTAAAGTAAACACTTTGATACGTCCTTTCGATATTTGGTTTCAAAATAGAATAAATCAATCAAATTAGCGTAAGAAAAAACTAGATAACTGTTTTTCCAGACACCTTGGCACATGCGTACTAAATAAGAATATCACAAATACAGTGAACCTGCTTTATAAATAACAAGAAATAAATATAGGACTGCATGGAGTAGAACACCAGAAGTCGCAATGTTGGAAGAAAACGTAATTTTATAGAAAATTGAATTAATTTTTATAGTTTGCACTTTAATATAGAAAAGGAAATTGGTAAATAATAACACAAAAAATGATACCATAAATGTCGATCAAATTAATGAGTAACGGTTGGAACTCTCAACGCAGATCTAAATCATATTTATAGATTTTCGGAAGTGGTGAATTCACTACATTAGGTTTTAAGCAGGTCTCTCAGATCGAGGTTAGGGGTGTTTTTCATAGATTAAAAAAAATAACACATATTGATACGATTTAACATTATTATCACCTAAATTCCTCTATTAACAAAGTTCATAAACTTGTGCATAGCTGGGGATCCGAGAAATGTTCAAAGTTGTGCCTCTATCTAAAAAGAAAAATATTTAATGAATAAGCGATTTATGTCCTATAGTTGTCCCGCTATTTTTTGTGAAAATATTTCAATCTCTTTTAATAACCCTGGTAATAAATGATTTTGAAAGCAATTTATTATTCTACGGCAGTCAGTATGGCTTTCGTTGAACTCGTTGAATCAACTTTAGAAGCTGCTAATGAGCTTGTGTATGAAACATGGTTACGAAAATTTCATTACATTACGAAATTTACATTGTTGGCTCTCTCTTATCTGCCTTTTAAAAAGCAATCGACTGCGTAAACCCAAATATATTGTTACTAGCATTCTAAGCATCGTAGCTTTAGTTCAATAACATCTTTCTTTTTTAGTTGATTCTGCTTATACACAAAGAGTATTTCCGCTACTGAAGAGAGTGTTGCCGGAATAAGATATATTTTACTATAACATGCGTGGTGAAAATTATATAAAATTATGTTTTGCTAGAGTGACTCATAGTCGGGATTTTCATAATTATTATGAACATGGATTATTATGGTTCGTTAGAAAATATTTGCAAAATATCCGCAAAAATTTGGAAATTCGGTTAAACAATAAATCTTACAACAAAACACATTAGAGAGAAATGAAAAATTGATCCAACGACAATTTTCCACAAAAAAAAATAATGACTTGATTTCCTCCTGGGAAAAGAAATTATACATCTCTCATAACACCGCCCAAAGCTTAAAAATCCAAAACGCTCAACCCCCAAAATCTATGGGCTGCCCAAACTCCACAAGAAATCGATCCCCCTCAGGACGATAGTGTCCTGTATCCAGTCACCTTTTGAAAAAATATCTGAATATTTAAAAAACATCCTTCAGAACGTTATAAACAAAAACAAATATTATATTAAAGACTCTTTCGACTTCCTAATTTCACTGGATGTCATTTCTCTATATACAAACATTAAAGTAAACACTGCCAAAGAAGTGATCGCCAAAAATGGGATAAAATCAAAACTTTTACAGACATTCCGCTCAGTGACTTTTTAGAAGCAATTGAAATGACATTAAATTCAACATATCTTTTATACAATAACAAGTTTTACCAACAAATAGACTGCTGTGCTATGGGCGCATCAATTTCCAACGCCATAACCAAAAGAATCCAGTTTTGATATTCCATTTTTCTATAGATACGTAGACGATTGCGTTGCAGCCATTCCCAAAAACAAACAAAACGAATTCCTTCAACTGTTTAACAGTTATCCTAAAATCCAATTTACAATAGAAATAGAATCCGAAAACAAAATAAATTTTCTAGACTTGACACTGCACAACAAACAAAACAGAAATCAGAACAGAATGGTACACCACAGAAATCTGGTCTTCCAGATATGTCAATTTTTACTCCAACCACCCTTTCCACCAAAAAAATCTGTTATTATTGGCTTGGCTGACCCCGTTCTATCAAGCTCTCTGATCCGGATTTCAAAAAAACAGTAATCGAAAAAGCCAAACTGGCACTCAAACTAAATAATTATCCCGAAACACTAGTCAACAATATCTTCAAAAAACGCGTCTATCTTTTTTACAACGAAAACCAAAAAAATTCTAGAAAATAGGAAAAACAAAAAAACACCTTTTTGTCTCTTCCCTATATACCGGGTATGTCAGAAGATTTTAGCAAAATTTTCGCAAACCACAACATCACTGTTGCTCACAAGGGTTTTAATCTAATGAAGAACAACTATAGCAAACTAACAGACAAAATACCGGATCGTCTTTTAAATTTGTTCGTAGTATGGGGTAGTGAATACATTTTTAAATATATTTAATAATTTATATTCCGCTTTCCTTGATTTTAAAAGTGCTTTGGATTCGATCCCACATACTCTACTTTCGAACAAGCTGTATCGTGCAAACGTTAGTTCTAGGTATATTTCAATAATCAAAGCCTTTATTTATGAATTGGCGACAGTTGAAATTAAAGCCAAGGATCGCTTCACTAAGATGTTCGATATCGCTGAAGGTGTCCTTCAGAGCGAATAGCTTAGCCCTTTTTTCCCGTTTTCTTGCTGATATTGGCGACTACTTTTCTTTTCAAGGCCTCTCTATTGACGCGTTTCATAGCCCTAACTTCCTGTCCTGCGCGGACGATGTCGTTTTATTAGCTGAATAAGAAAGCCAATTACAGAAAATGTTGACTTGTCTAGCCAGGTACGCAAAACGAAAAGTCTCTTACAATCAATGCGCAAAAAACTAAAGTTATGTACTGTAGTGAGTGATTCAAGTCTAGATGTGGTTAAAAGGTTTGATTACCTTGGTGTGACATTCTCTGCTTCCTCTTTGTTTAGAGAAATGGCAGACACAACGTTTCCAAAGAGAGTCAGGCAGCGGGGATTGCATTGTCGATTTTGAGAAAGAGTAAGCTTTCCTCTTGGGACGCAAATCAAAAAATATACCAAACAACCATGTTAAATATTTTTTCCGAATGTCTTACAGTTTGGGGCATACGTTATACCAGCATACTTGAAAGAGTACAGGCCAACTTTTTAAAAAGATTATTGTTGCTTCCTAAATCCACCTCAAGTGCTTTACTTCTCTTTGAAACAGGTTACAACACGCTTAATTTACTGAACCTTTAAATCTTGAGTTGGGTTATGGTGAATTTTGGACCAATCCACAAAAGAATGACATCTTAGAATGATTTAAAACAAAGTTTTTTAAAGAGAATTTTTACACAGACTACCACCCAGCTATTTAAATTGCCAATTTCCCATGTCCATTTTAAGAATTATCGCGCAATTAAGACTGAATAATAACGTTTTTCTGAAATTCTCCTATAAAGGCTGCGCTTATTTTATTAAACCTGATCAGATTTGCTCCGAATGTAACACTAAACAATTTGAAACAATTTACCACCTTATATTTACTTGCCTGATGTATAATGCTCTCCGCACCACAATAACAATACCTTTGTTGTAGCTTTAAAAAATCTGGACTCACGTGGGTCAAAACGTCTTGCTCATCTTATTATAAATATATTAAAGACCCGCCCGTTTCTAAGGAATGAGTAAAAATAAAACTATAATTTGTATCTGTCTATTTGAAATCACATGCTGATACATCCCTATTAGTTGACTATTTGGTTTCATTAGACTTATGTAATGTCTGATGCGGATTTCTTGTAGAAATATAATGTTTTTTAAACAATAAATAATAAAAATAAATAAGAACTAAAAGTTCTGATTTTCACGAAATTATATATTATGACATGACAATTGTTTCGACAAAATCTGAAATTTTACATCTTATTTATTTTGATAAATGGATTTTCATCAAGTAAAAGCCACCTCAGTTCAATTCATAAATAATAATAATAATAATTTATATTCAACGAAAAGGCAACCAGTATCGAATGAAATTTCGATACCAGTGGTAAACCGGATATAACGCAGGCCTTGCATGTTTCTATTTAAATTGTATAAAATGTTTCAAACAGCCACTAGCGATTTCATCTCCGTTGCATAAAGCACCCACCAACCTTACAATGTGTCAGTGTATCTCATCTGAAACCACATTGGATGGTTCGTTAGTCAATTAAACCGGTCTCGATACTATAGGTACAAAAGCCGTCGGCCATCACTTTAGTTCCCATTACAACGATGACTAATTATAACCAGAATGAGATTCGGGCATTTATTGAAATGTTTAGTTGTTTAGATGCATGACTAAATGTTAGAGTGAAAGAGAATCAAACACTGACCGCATGACATGCGAAGCGTTGGCTCTTCAAGTTGGTTTCCAGTAAATTGTTTTGCTCTCAGTGGGTTGATTGTGTATTGCATTTACTAGCTTTGGTGTTCATAGGCGTTTTCTGTTTTATATTATCTAAATAAATGTTTGATTTGAGTTCGAAAAATAATTCCGCTATATTGACGAGTACTGTGCTTACTATCGGGATATTCAGAGTTAGGACAATTGTTAGAGGAAATAGGAGGGACTAGAGGACAAATTATCTCACGATGACCTTCACTTTATTTTTTTTTTCGGTTAACACTTTCGTAGAACACTTTGTTGGGTACAATTCCGGTTCACACATATATTTGTGATTCCTTGTAAAAACAGACTTACGGTAACAAAATGGCTAATGTAACCAGAGGAACACTCTGCAAATTATCGAAATATCGCTCTAAGAAAATAACAAAAATATGTGGTTATTAAGGCCCCCACAGACGCTCGGTTTTTTAATACAGGCCGCCTGTGCAAACCTAGTTTGTGCAGGCATATCGGTGCGTTTGTGTGAACGTCCGGCCGACTAGACAGGCCGTTGGCTGGTTGGTTGGTCTGCGCAAACTTGGAATAACTTGAGCGTGTGGACTCGTTCGATTGATTTGTTCAGTTTTAAGGTTTATTTAGAATCCAAAAATAGTAAGCAACAAAATGACGAATGTTAACAAACAGTTTTTAAACGAATTTATTGAGGTAAACAAAAGCTTACCATGTTTATGGAAAATAAAGAGTAAAGAATACAGTGACATAAATAAAAAGTCCGCAGCCTATGATGTGTTGGTCGAAAAACTCAAAGAAGTTGATACGGGAGCAAATAGGGAAAGAATTAAAAAAAGTATTGAAAAGCAAATTAAGTGGGGCCCGTACAGAAGATATTTATACTCCAAACCTGTGGTATTATGAATTGCTGAATCTTTTTAAGTGATCAAGAGACACCACATGCCTCAACGAGTAACCTAGACGATGAAGAACATGGAATAAAGGTAATACGGTCAGTCAAAAAAGTCTCTATACATATTTTTCCTCTTTATTAAGTATACCAAGATTGAACCCAGTAAATGGTAAAAAGAATAGCATACAAAAGCAACAATAACCGTGAAATATCATAAAATTTCACATAAAATTTACTGGTATTTCAAATGTTTAAAAAAGAACAAACTGTATGGAGACTTTTTTGATTGACTGACTATTTTTTTAATTCATTGGTCAAGTCTCTTTGGCTGAACGGTTTTAACAAATCAGTTCGTACAACAAATACGTAAGGTAACTCATCGTCACTAGTAATTACTTTTTCTGGGTTTGGTATTTTTAATTTTTTGTTATTTAATTTTTCATAAAAGCGTGTATATTTCAAAACACCTCATCGGAAAGCAGTCCATTAATTCCAAAATCTACCATTACAATTCATAATTCGCATTTGCAATTGCCATTAAAACCATGCTATGTGAACTTTTGTAATTAAAAAAATATGATCCCCAACAGGAAGAGGCACTATATTAACATGCTTCCCATCAACTGCTCCCAAGCAGTGTGAAAAATTCCATCTCTGTTCAAACTGTTTGGCTATGGCTTTCCAATCTTCCTCAGATTGTGGAAACTAAAAAAAATATATTCATTTAGTTATTTGTTTATTAAAATTTTTATATATCTTTTTTTTTTTTTCAGAGCCCACTTAACGTCCTAAGTCCTGAAGTGCATAATCCCGGAGTGTTTAACATCGAACTAACAGAAGATTCCGAAATTTTATCCCGCCCTACTAGTTCGGTCAGTTTCACTCCAACTACCTCAAAAAAGAAGAAAAGTCCAGAAGACTCAACTGGCATATTAATATCAAGAGCCTGTACACAATTAGAAAAGAAGGAAGACCAATTTGATACTATAGGCAAAAATATAGCCTCAAAACTAAGAAACTTGCCACATGAGCAACGAATATATGCTGAAAAGATCATTAATGATGTGTTGTTCGAAGCAGAACTAGGATGCTTAAACCGAAATTATAAGTTGGTGCAAGAGCCTGCAGCTACAAATTCCAACTGTATGGAAGCCTCTCGTCAACTGATGCCTATACAATCTACTCAAGAACTTACTTTCTGTGCAACAACAACAACAAGGTAATGAAAATTTTGGTTCTTTTCTGCGTGGCTATAACCCCGAAACCGAATATTAATTTGTAAATATGTTTTTCAACCCTTGATTTTGGAATTAACATTTTGTTTTTGAATTTTTGGAATAAAATGTTTACTTACCTTAACGAAGTCTGTTTTCAATACTTTGAATATGGCTCTGCATGTTTCTGGTATTATTTCGAACAGTAGCGAGAAATCTTAGGGTAGTTGTTAACCGCTCATGGCATGAAATCGATTGCCTCATGCATGTGTCTTGCTTTTGTATTAAAGGAGAAACGAGTTTCAATAATTTCAAGTAGGTTGTCTCGTCCATTCTTAGGTAGTTAAACCAATCCTGCTTCTCAAGTTTCAAATCAGCAAGCAAATTGACATGGGAGTAATCATTTCTTTTGAGTCACCAATGTTTGGTCCATTTGCTTCTTTGAACTAATCGTTGCTTTTTTTGCCTTTTCTTTATTGCACAGGCAAGCGCAATGCAATATAATGCCGTGTCTCGAGAAGCCATTTTCTTTTACTAAGTATAGAAAACCGATGCCAAAACTAGTGAGTGTGAATTTATCCAGTTGGCTGTATAGAAAGAACTGTGCTAAAAAACTGCGTGTGTGTGGGACTGCACAAATTGGTCTGCATAGTTGGCCTGTGCTAAAAAAACTGAGCGTCTGTGGTGGGGACCCTTAGACCTGATACTTTATTACGCATTTTTTCTCTCAAAATAAAGTGCTGCTTTTGTCGAACTATATCTGCAAATAAATATCAAAACAAATGATGTAATTGAGGAGAGTTTGTTTTGCCGGAACTGTTTTTATACACATACTCGTTCACAAAGATACACATTTTCAATTGTAATTAAATATTTTTTGAATTTTGGATGATTTCACCATAGACCGCGACAGCCATTTGCAAAGATGAAAACGACTTTTGTTAGACATTTTTTTGAGTACACTGTTTTTAAGTAAGACTACTCTAGACGCTACTTCAGACGGATTGTACAGGGAAAAAAAGTATGTACCTTTTAAAGGGAAGAAAACCAAGATGGCATAGCATTTCCGCAATTGACAAGTAAGCCAGAGGTCTTCATTTTGAATTATATGTTTATTTCATAAGATATATTAGTGAATGTCAGGTCTGTATACTATATACTATCTTACCTTACTTTAATAATGGGCACGGTTAAAAATGAAGTATCTTTTCAAATCAGTAAATAACGGAAAACAGTTATTAATCGGGAAAACTTGACAATGAAAAAAGGATAGGTAGTAAGTTACAACAAGCTTGCGTGACCAATTCAAAACGGAGCTTAACAACAGACATTAAATGCAGGCAGCCAGTGGGTGAAAACTACCTCAATTATTGCACGATCACGTCAAGATGTATATCATATCAAATGACGTGACATTCTTAATCAAGGCGCACTAGGGGAACTTGGTTCGTAGCAGTAATAATTCTATTAATTCGGAATTGTTTTAATAGGCGAAAATGGGATAATGTTATATTTTACAGCTTACTTACATAATAAATTATTTTAAACAAAACAGAAAAAGTAAGTTATCCACACAAATATTCATAAAAAATACCTAAATAAAAATGTTCAAGTCAATCAATCAAGGACATTTACGTATTTGCTGGCGGTCTCTGCTCTCCAATAATAGGACGATGTTCTCATTTTGCTTTTGCACACTGCCATTTGCCAGCAAACAATGTTTTTTTTTTGACATCTCAACCGTTTTTCCAAACTCGTCGATTCAATATTTGACTCGATTTTGACTACTGACGAGCAGATATTTCGGTATACTCGGTCCACTTATGGAGCTGACTGAATTGTTCTAATCCAACGAATTCAGAATAGTGGCATTGATTTTTCTCCCAATTTCATTTTCCTTCAGATGCAGTCATAGACCTTCGTGACTCTGGATCTATCCGCCGTTTCCTAATTTTTCATTGCTCACTGCGTCAACATTTTAACAATTGCACTCTACTCTGGTGTTTGTCCGCTATGCAAGAGTATGCCTACTACCCCAGTCCTGATTTACTAAAAAGGTTCAAAATAAAAATTCAAAACGACTCGAGAAATATTCCTTTAAATTTTTTTTTTTCGATATACAACCAGCACAGGTACACATCCGGTGCTCCGCGATTCTCCAATTCCTGACTCAACATCATCATCGGTTTCTACTGCCGGCAGCATATACCAGGTGGTGCGTAATTAATAAGTATAATAAGAATATTAAAATAAACTCGTGGACATAATGATATTTAGTCAAATATGTCTTAGTAAAATGTTCATTATTGACATACAGATTTAGTTCTGCAAATTATTAGTTTTCTATAGGTCAAGCAATTTTTGAAATATCGTGACGATAACTTGGATTTGGCTATTTTACGAGACAGCGAATACGATATACATTCTATTTCTGCGCTTATGTTTACAGAATGTTCGTTACTCCCTATAATCTCGATAATTCATCTCATAACTGTTTTTTATTAGCACGTCTTACGTTTTTTGAGGGATCTTTAAAAAACGACGTGACTAAAGTATATGCGACAATAAATTCTCTCCCGAACAAATTAAAAATCTACTTAGTTTCAAGGATGTAAAAAAAATAGCAAAAAAGTAACTAAGCCATTGTGTGATATGTCTATTGTTATTTGTAACGATAACTGTAACAACTCAGCAAACACATACGTCTGTGCGCTGCACTATCACCTTTTCTTGTAATATCCCTTGTGTGAATAAAGTCTATTATTATTAGTATATTTATGACAGAGAGATCATTTCTAAGTACTTTTCTCGCCAAGAGTTCTTTGGTTTTGATGATCTCTTTCTGACTGATTCTTCGGAAACAGCGCAAAATCACAAACTTTTATTCAGAATTTAATGTCGGTATACACGAGGCGCAACAATGAGTGAGCCTCTCTCTCATTTTACTAGCGCATATCTTCATTATTTGAATATTCGTTATGGAGAGGCATATAACCACTTGAAGCTATTTTTTATTCCATTTGAAAAATAACCTTAAAATATATTTTATTTAGATTAATGGATTTCAACGCTAATATCAATGTGTTCGTTTCTAATCCATTGCCTACCTATTCTTAATGAACTGTTTTTAGATCAGCTATTTGACTTGGAATAAAATATTACAATACAAATATCTCGGTGCGCTTTATTGAAATAAATGTGGTATACTTTTTTACATAAAAGTCAAAAGCAAAGATATACGTCACGAGTATTGAATATGTGTAATAAAAAAACATAGTATTTTTTATTCCAATTGGAACCTAAGCAGGACACGGAAAGCTGAAACGTTGAATTTAAGATTAACTTTGTTAATATTATTGTATCAACAACATAATACAACACTTCGACATAAAACTAGGAATACTTTGTATTCAGATCATCGAATAAAATGAAAACCAACAACGCCTTTCAATGCTTTTCATTTGGACCGTATTTTTTCGCCAGTCTTTCCCATTAGCGACAATGGAACGCAAATTTGTGTAAAATATGTTTCAGAGCTTACAAAACCTTTCGTAATTTGGAACGCGCCCGACGTAAATTATCCAAAACACACAGCAATAAATTTTCGCATTTTATGTACTGAAATTTTTAAGTCCCGATCGTTGAATCTTCTTCGCTTCGATGGCCTACATTATGTGGAAACCGCCTTTTGCTTTAAGGTATTTCTATAGAAAATATAATAAACTGCCGTCACATCCGGAGCGGGGTTTTCCACGCGGTTATCATCAAACTTTTAAGCTTTTTCTTGAAATGCATATTTCGCAAGTTTCATTTAGGTTCTCGAAACGGTTTTAATCTTTTCTTCTTCTTTAAGTCCGTTGTCCCCTTTGAATATTGAATATCATCGGGGCTACTTAATAGTACTCTCTACTCTCGACAATATTTTGACCATTTTGTCAAAATATTGTCATAATACTCTTTGTATTTGAATGTGCTTTCGTATTTCAAATTAAGTAATCTGTCGTATGAGCATTTCCAAACAAGGATATCTAAATTACGACTAAAAATTCGCGAAAGAACTTGTGATATTTGCAAATTTTTGTGCCAATCGTCTTTGTTGTTTCAAGTTTCACTAAACGTGAAGAAGAAGATGTGAAAACCGCCTTTTGCTTTAAGGTATTTCTATAGAATATATAACAAAGTAAAGTCACATCCACAGCAGGTTTTTCCAACCCGTTATAATCAAACTTTTAAGATTTTTCTTGAAATGCATATTTCGCAAGTTTTATTTAGGTTCTCGAAACCATTTTACTGTTTTCCATTTAGAACTTCGTTTGTAATCTTCTTCTTCTTCTTCAAGTCCGTTGTCTTCTTTTAATATTGAATATATTGAATATATTCGTTCTACATTTCTAAAATTATTTGGCATTTGGACCATTTTGACGAAATACTGTAATACTCTTCGTCTTTGTGTTTTCGTATTTCAAATTAAGCAATCTGTATGAGCATTTTCCAACAAGGATATCTAAATTACCACTAAAAATTTGTTGTTTTAAGTTTCACTAAACGTGAGGAGGAAGATGTTTTTAACATAACCCATATATTTAGCTACCGTTAAGCTGCAGAGCTTACTTTTTGGTGATTTGTGCAGAATATCGTGAAATTTTATAACACTGTTTAAATGAAACACACTTCATTTTGGAAATTTTTAAAAAATTCATGAAAGACCCTTAAAATTATATGATATGAAGTATTTTTTTATTAATTTTTTTATACTTTATATCATATATAATATATATAATATAATTATGTATTACAATATAATTATAATATGTAGTTTCAGATCTATTAAAAAATATATTGTAGTCAATTTGGTAATTCCAAATTCACTGAACAGCATTAGTCAAGGAATTACCACAACTCTAATTTAGCAGGTATTTACTAAGCTGTATTTAAATAGTTAAATATGATATATCTGGCAGACATGATTGTTATAATAAAGATAATATTAATATTGGTATAACAT